AAACTCGAAAGGAAGGGTCTTGGTTTACATCAAAGGGAAGTGGTAACGAAGTACAGACCGGTAAGCCAGTAACTCCTGTATGTATTTTTTGTAAGAAAGATCATTGGGGAGGTGATTGTAAAACAGTTGTATCATTAGAAGCAAGAAAAAAGTATTTCGTAGAAAACCAGTTGTGTTTTAACTGTGGCCGAGCTGGACACAAAGCAAACAAGTGCCGCAGTCGAGGTTGTGTGAAATGTAGGGCTAGGCATCACATTAGTCTCTGTGACAAGGAGAATAATACTGGTAATTCTGTATTTACCGGATATATGTCACCAGTTGAAGGACAAACACTTACATCAATGATCCCTGTTAATATAAAGGGCACAACCCTGTGGGCTTACTTACTTTCAGGATCTAGCAGAAATTTCATATCTAGTGATGCTGCCAGAAAGTTGAAGTTGACCCCAGTCCGCCATGAAACACGCCAGATAGTCACACTGAGTTGGACTACAAAACAGTCCTTGCCTATTTTCGAAGTAACCATGACATCGCTTGATGATAAAACGAGGGAGAGTGTACAGTTAATTAACTGGCAGTAAGATGTCTGATTTTACAACAGTTTGACGTCCAAAACTGAGTGATTTAAAGTCAAAATAGGGACATGCGGCTGATGAGAGTTTATACATGAAGCAGAGTGATGAGTACCAAATGCATGTTATTTTGGGGACAGTACGTACTGTATAATTAAGACAGAAGAAGTTTTCAAGGGGGAGCCGGGTGATCCCATAGTTGAGAGTACTACATTCGGGTGGAAAATCCATGGTGGGGAGTTTCCAAGTGATGGGTGTTGGTTTTCACAGGAGGATCAGGATAGCCAACAACTTTATAGCTTAGATGTTCTAAGAGTGGAAGATCGGGGTGAGAACGATCAACTTGATGTGCACAGAGAGTTTAAGGAGAACATTGTTCATGACATAAACGGGAGATACGAGGTAAAAGTTCCTTGGATTCCAGGGACTCAGTTGAGTGAGACAAATGAAACGCAGAGTAGATTACATTTGAAGCGAGTGGAGAGGAAACTTGAGCAAGATGAGTGTTTGCCGAAGGATTACGAAAAGATCATTATTGACCATGTTGCGTCCGGAATAATAGAGAAAGCGCCTGAAACGCCAACTAGGGAGCTGGTTTCTTACATGCCTCATAAACCTGTAGGCCAACAAAGTGCAATTACGACAAAAACTCGGATGGTTTTCGATGCCAGCGCCAAACCACAACCTATTTCAAGCAGTGTGAATGAATGCATGTACCCAGGCCCTCCTTTACAACCCCTGTTATGGGACCTACTAGTCCGAGCACGAATGTCACCATACCTATTGATTGGAGATATCGAGAAGGTGTTCCTTCAAATTGGCCTTAGCGAAGAAGATCGGGATGCGTTTCGCTTTCTTTTCAATATAAACGGTAGAGAGGAACGTATACCATTCGGCGCAGAAGCCAGTCCCTTCATGTTAGGTGCAACGCTAGAATATCATTATGATCAACAGTCAGATGCAGTGAGTGAGACGGTGAGCATACTCAGAGAGAACACTTATGTAGACAACCTGATGATGACGGGGACCCAGGTCGAAGATCTGCAGAAATTCAAGACAGAAGCCACCGGAGTACTAAAGAGTGGGAATTTTCCAGTGCATAAATGGGAGGGCAACGTGGTTAGCCTAGAAAGTGCAAACATGCCAAACCCCGGAAAAATATTAGGACACGTTTGGAACAAAACCGAGAACACTCTGAAGGTTCAGTTACAAGATAATGATGACGGGAAGCTAACCAAGAGAGCTATTCTTAGTAGATTGGGAAGAGCCTATGACCCATTAGGAATTATTTCACCGACAATGATTGAGGGCAAGCGGATCCATCGTGATTCATGCGAGGAACAGAAGAGTTGGAATGCAGAAGTTTCCCCTGCACTCATAAGGCAGTGGAATAAATAGACAAAACAATTGCGAGACATTGAAGTCCCAAAGTGTTTGATGCCAGCCGGTGAAACGAAAGCTATCGAACTTCACTTGTTTACTGATGCGAGTGCATTGGCATGTTCTACTGTGGCTATTGCAATGGTCGATCAAGACTCTAGAAAGTCAAAGGGGCTGTTAGCGTCAAAATCTCAGTCCGCCGAAGAGTTCCAGAGGAAGTTCAATTCGTTCATTACACGAAAGACCAGACCACAACTGACAGTGTCGGATAACGCAGCCGTGTTCAAGGCAACCGTGAATTGGATCCGAAAGATTCGGAAGGACGAGGTACTACAGAATCACTTAGCAACCCAGGAGATTCGTTGGAAGTTCAACCTAGCTAAATCACCATGCATGGTGGGGTGGTATGTACGAGAGATTAATCAGAGAGATAAAGAAGACGTTGTACAAGACGTTGGGGAAGACGCAACTTTCCTTTGTACAACTCGAAGCTGTTGTTATGGATATTGAGCGGCATTTGAACAATAGGACCTTTAACGTACGTAGAGAGCGATGGAGGTGATGAAGAGGTGTTAACTCCAAATTCGATTGTGTGGGGACAACAGTCCCACATCTTGCAAGATATCAAAGTGGAAGACGAGGAACTTACGAAGTTCAATAAAGGCTAGAGAACACGCGTGGACTCGATTACGAAAGGAGTACATACACGGGTTGATGGAAAGTCATCGTATTAACCGAGCGAAATCACAACCGCCGGAAGTTGGTGAAATCGTTCTGATCGTAGGGGAAGAGAGAAACCGTGGGAAATGGATGAAAGGCAAGGTGACGCGAATCGTGAAGGGGGTAGATGGAGTAGCGAGAGGAGTCGTATTGTTGCATAAGGGTAATAGACTTGAACGGCCTCTCCAAGCGATTTGCCCTTTGGAGATTAAGAGCGTGACTGCAGAGACGGTGGAGAAGAGGAAGGAAGAACCGATCAAACCCGTTCGAGAGAGAAGAAAGGCTGCTGCGATGCGCAGGCCAAGATACAGCAGTTACCAAAGGACGATGCTATTTGAGAAGTGAAACTATATATAGATAATAGTTATATTGTTGTTGTTTATAAAATGAACTGCGTTGATTTTTAGGGGAGGGTGGCCGGACTTGTCGAACAGTAGACATTAATATTACGCAACCGGAAGCAAACTGTTAGAACTAATACTAGGAATTTAGTAGGCTTCGTTTTCCAGGAAAACGGAAGTGAAGCACATGGGTTTTGGGGAGAGAGTGAGTTTTGTTTATTAAAGGAGAGTTTTTTGGGTTTTTTTAATTAAAGAAGGTTGAGTGTGTTAATCGCTAATATTAAGTGTGTCGAGACGATTCGGTACACAGTGACGGATCCAAATAACTATAGACCTATATTGATCCTATCACCCTTTGCAAAAATATTGGAGCGCTTAGTATATAATCAATTGCAAAGTTTTCTAACAAAGCATAACATAATTTACGATTATGAATTTGGATTTAGAAAAGGGCATTCCACAGAACAGGCAATATTAGAAACAACGGATTATTTCAAAAAGTCAATTGATAAGAACGAAGAAACATGTGGACTATTTCTAGACTTCTCTAAAGCTTTCGATACCGTAAATCACGAAATTTTACTCTCCAAATTATATAGATATGGAATACGAGGAATTCCATTGCTCTGGTTTCGAGATTATTTAACTAATCGCTACCAATATGTAAAGTTCGATAACGTTGAATCTGAACAGCTAAAGATGTCATGTGGAGTCCCTCAGGGTTCAACATTGGGGCCTTTGCTGTTCATATTGTATATAAATGACATGCTTAATTGTTCAAAAAAGCTTTCTTTTCGAATATTTGCTGACGATACAAATATATTTTATTCGCATATATCTATAGATGAAATTGTACGAGTAATGAATGATGAACTACATCATATTATACAGTTTTGTAATATAAATAAGATTTCGATAAACTACAATAAGACTAACTACATGGTAATTACATCTACAAAGAAGAAAATACGTCCTATAACAATTAGCAATATTGAAGAAAAATTGTGTATAAAATATTTGGGCGTTTATATAGACAATAAATTAAACTGGAAGTATCAAATAAAACATGTTCAATCAAAAATTGCTAAAAATTTAGGTATCTTAAAAAAACTTAGATATTACACCGATTCAAAAATACTTAAACAACTTTATTAAAATCTAATGTATCCTTATCTTAATTGTGGCTTAATGAGTTGGGGTAATACATACACAACTGTTCTTAATAAATTGAGATCCTGTCAGAATACATGTATAAAAAGCATTTTCTTTTGCTCATATGAGAGTAAATGCTACGCCATATTACAATATTCTAGATATTCTGAAGCTTGATAACATGTTTAAGCTAAAAATTGGTATATTCACATACAAGATTATTAATGATCAATCTAATATTCCTGTTGTTTTTAGTCAAACTATCCAACTTGCCTCCGCATGTCATTCGTACAACACTCGATTTGCTGATAACCAAAATTTTAGTAGATCAAGAGCTCGAACTAATTATGGTGTTCATACATTCAATTTTGTGTCTTCGCAAATATGGCAAAGTATTGATTCTGAAATTAAACTTGCAAGCTCAGTTACAAGTTTTCGTAAAAAAATTCGTGAACTGTTTACTTTTTTCACAAAATTAGATACTTCAAATTATCTATCTCGCTCCTAGTGAACTAATTTAACTAACTTACTGCAGTGGTCAATTCGAAAGCCTAGGCTACTTTGATCACTGTGCACAACTGTTACTTTCATAACCGTTTATAATGTAATCTATGGTATTTAGTTTTCTGTAATATTTTATGTATTTTGTGTATTTATGTATAAATGTGCGAATTCTAATAAAATCCTTAAATCCTTATTCAGTACGCATATGGGGATTTTATTTTCAACGTCTATCATTTCTGGCGAAATCTTTATCGGGACTGTAAGAAACCCAGTTCTCTGCTAAAAATGTTCCGCACCTTCGGCATACGAATCTCTAGTAATTTTTTTATTCTTATCTTCCAATTTACCCCAAATGAATATTTCATCAAATGGCTTAATATCACCACTTTCGGCGACTCGTATGTGGCAACACTTTAGCATTTCCTGAAGGTATCTACTTCCGGTTGTAACAAGGTTGGGCCACATCTATTGTTGCCAATTTTTTTCTTGTGTTCAACGATACACCCAATTTTCCCAAAGAGTACAAGCCCAAAATCCCATTTTGAACACCACTTACCACAAAAAAACTCAATATAAAACTATTTGTCCCTACCGAAACTGATGTTTGAACCACACCTCTGCATTCTGCGTGTGTCCCATTATCCATCTCTACGTGACGTGTAGTTGGTTGAACTTTCATTTAATGTAAGTTCTTTTGCCAACGCCATTGGAATAACTGATACTGCTGCTCCAGAATCACAAGTAAACTCTCTGCTTCCAGACTGAGCTACCGTACCAGTTAGTGTAATAAATTTCTTCGCGGCTGAGAACGAATTTATTTTTGCTGACGATTGTTCCCTGTCGCCTTTGAGTTTAAAGACAGCGAAGGGCGAGGCATTTAGCATGAAAAGATGGAGCTGTTTGGCCCTTTTGCAGCATCATTGAAAAAGATCTTTAAATGGACAGTCTTTCCGAAAATGTTCAGGCGACTGGCAGTGTAAACACCCTTGATTTTTACCGGTTTTTCCACTCCTAGGTTTTGGCGGGAAATTTCTCTTTCCAACGAACCCGACCGTACGTTTTGTTTCGTCCTCCGTTTCCTGACTTCCATCGATTTCTTTGGATAGGGCGGCTGCTACCCTTCTTTTTCAACGATATTTTGTCTGCTTCCCCTGTCGTTTAGAACAAGCTCGAGGCGATCTAGTTCTTCAGAAAGTTGTGCTAAATTTAAATCTCGATGTTTACTGTCGCTCTTTATCTTTTGACTCATTGAATTGTCAATAGCTCCCAAAAAGGCATCATGTAACATTTGTTCCTTTGTTTTCTTTGCCGATCCGTGTGTTGACGCGCATAACTCCGGGTAAGCCTTCGCCATCAACTTTTCGATTCTTCACGCTAACTGTGCTGGCGTTCAGCGGCTTTCCGCTTTAAACCTCGTAATTCGTCGACAGCTTTCTCATGGACGATCGATTATTCGTGAAATTCCTTCCTTAATAAAAGCGGCTTTAACTTGGGTCATCTTGAAGTTCATCGTCTAATCTCGCGATACATAGAAACGCCGCCCCCCCCTCCCCCCTCGAGTTTACTCGCTATGGCGTGTGCTTCTTGTTTACGCCTTCAAATTTCTTTGTAGAACAATAGAATTTCATTTTCATAAGCCACAAATCTACATCTCCCGTACCGTCATAACAGGCTTGTTTTATTTCTGCCATTTCCGACAATTTAAAGCGAGAATTACCGCTGCAACCACTGTAAATTTGTGTATTGTATTACTCCCGAACACATGTACAATATAGTCTTACTTATTTTTATTGAATTTATTTATTGATGAGGTGTGGAATTGCAACGAAATAGCGAGATCTCTTGATTTCAGAAATATCCCCAACTGTATCCAGTAATCCAGATTGTTGATCTAGATAAAGGTCTTATAAAAAAAACTTAATTAAAGCCCGTTAAAAGACTGTAATATTTGCCCTTGGCATTGCTGAAAGCAACGATCATGGTATATCTCAAAGTATAGCTGTCTGTTGAAAATCTACGGTATTAAAATCATACACCAAAGAATGGATAAGTCAAACAACAATTTATATGTCACTATATTATACATGTTTCCAATGAGCACTGTTTAGTAGTATTCACCACCTTTATAAATTTGTAAACAGTTTTCGTTTTGACATGAATAATCTTTAATTTTTGCTTTATATGGATTCCTAATAATACAAGTGAGATTTAACTTTTTGCTTTGTGAAATAGAATACCGTTATTTTTTAATGGACAGCTTGCATCGTCTATATCATATCCAGGATTGCTTGTGTGTAATCGCATTATGCACTATTACACTATCAAATAAATATAAGTAGCAAATGATTAATGAATTAGAGATAAACAGGTGATTCACAATGAAAACTTTAAAAATGTCAGTAGAAGTAGAAAACTCTAAAATTTATATTTATTCGTATGACGCCAATGACGGCCTGTGCGCATCTGACACTGTAAATTTGTGACATAGATTATCGTATGTTAACACAATACAGTGATTAATAGAGACCAAGAAAACGGTTAAAAAGTCTTACTATAATTATGTGCGCTAAAACGTTTTACTATAATTAAATACGAATTATGTACTGAAATTTCCTCTATGCTTATGGACATTTCTCTGTTCGGCTTTTATTAAATGTTTACATTTGCTAATATTGGGCCAGTCCTAGACAATACTGGAATAATAAGTTTTCTAACCTTTCTTTCTTTCGTGTGGAAGAAGATCCGTATATAGGCCACACCCTGACTTCGAAAGTCTTAAAGCCAGATGATGAGAGAGTTAAAGCTATCTTACAGATGCCTGAACCAGCTACCAAGCAAGATCTGCAACAGTTTATGGGATTTATCCAGTACCTCAGTAAATTCATCCCTAAATTGCCAGAGAAAGCAGCACCATTTCGAGCACTTATGAAGAAGAACGCAGCGTGGTCTTGGAATCTTGGACATCAAGTATAGCATTTCAAGAGTTGAAAGAAGAGTGTAGTAAACAACCAACTCTTAGATATTATGATGTCTCCAAACCAGTCAGAATCTGAGCCGACAGCAGTAAGTCTGGAGTCGGAGCTCTATGTCTTCAGGAAGGACAACCTGTGGCATATGCATCTCGAGCCTTGAGTCCAGCACAACAAAGATATGCACAGATTGAAAAAGAGTTACTTGCCACCGTCTGTCCATGCGAAAAGTTTCATCAGTATATTTTTGGCAAAAAAGTTCAAGTGAAAACAGACCACAAGCCGTTGGTCAGCATCTTTAAGAAACCCTTGAACGATTGTCCAATGAGATTACAGCGTATGTTGCTTCGGTTGCAACAATACGATCTAGAAGTTGAGTACAAAAAATGAGTTGGGTTGTATGTAGCTGATGCTTTGAGCAGAGCATACCAAGAGATCGATCCAGGTGATACACTTGAAGAGGAATTGGAGATTCACATGGTGTTACCCATATCCAATGATAAGTTAAAGCAGTTGCAATCAGAAACGCAGAAAGATCCATTATTGCAAAAACTTAAGAACGTTATTCTCAATTCTTGGCCAAGATAAAAGTCTAATCTATATCCTACAGTGCAAGTATACTGGGATTATCAAGAAGAGCTTACTATTCAGAATGAGCTGATCTTCAAACGTAACAAGGTCGTGATCCCAATAGCACTAAGAGCAGACATGCTGAAAGCAGTACATCGACCACACCTTGGTGGAGAAGCCAGCAAACGACGAGCTCATGAAGTTCTGTTTTGGCCTTCAATCGACAGGGGCATCGAGAAAATGGTTAAATCGTGTAGTGTTTGCAATCGAAACCGTAACCAACTGCCAAGAGAAACCCTCAAGCCTCATCCAGTACCTAGCAGACCGTGGCAACGGATTGGAGTTGATCTATTTACATTCCATCAAAGGAACTACCTCATTACAGTTGATTTCTATTCTGGTTGGTTTGAACTTGACCTACTCTGTGGTATAGTCGCATCCGCCGTGATTTCAAAGTTAAAGTCGCAAATGGCACGTCATGGGATTCCAGATGTACTCATTAGTGACAATGGTCCACAATTTTGTTGCAAGCAGTTTAAAGAGTTCAGCCAGAAATGGGTATTTATCCATGTAACCAGCTCACCTGTCTACCCACAAAGCAATGGTGCTGTGGAGAGAGCGGTCCAAACGGCAAAGACCCTTATGAAGAAAGCGTTCGAAAGTGGAGAAGATCCAGTCCTTGTCAAATCATCGTAATACGCCTAGAGACATTGTACTCGGAAGTCCAGCCCAGCTTCTTATGTCAAGAAGAACCAAGACTATTCTACCTGTAACAGAAGAACTTTTGGTACCCCGAGTAGTAAGTCCAGAGAAAGTGCAAGACCGTTTACAGCATTATAAACATTTACAGAAAAAGGCTTATGATAAGAAGTCACAAAATTTACTAGCGTTAAAGAAAGGTGATGTGGTAAAAGTTCATGAGGAAAAGGATTTTTGAAAAAAGGAATAGTCGTGGAGGAAAGCAACTAACCAAGATCATATCAAGTTAAGACCTTGAGTGGTATATTTCGGAGAAATAGGAGACATTTGTTGAAATTAAGTGGAAGAACCGGAAGAAATTTCAGAAGAATCAGATGATGTAGCAGTGGAAATACTACCGCAGAGAGATCAGTTACCGTTAAATGATAAACATGTACAGGATTGTACAATAGCAAATCATGTCGAACATGATAAACAGTTAACTTATACTAGATCAGGACGACTGGTAAAGAAACCAGACAGGTTGAATTTGTGATATTGACATTAATTAAAATAATTCGTAATGGTAACTTAGTGATATTTATAGTTATATTGACATTTCCGGTTATATTGACATTTCCAGTTATATTGACATTCAGTATTGATAGGTATAGACGTTATAAATGAGCAAAAAAAAATTGGAAAAAAAGGGAGATGTACAGTAATAATAAGTTAATTATGTGTATGAATAATCAATGTTAATTATCTATATATATATATATATATATATATATATATATATATATATATATATATATATATATATATATATATATATATATATATATATATATATATATATATATATATATGTTCAGCTGTTCTAAATAAAGTCACTTGGCCATTTTAAAACTTGTATAGTTA